GGGGGGGGGTCCGGCCGAACCGGGATCATATATACAAAATACGCCTCCATGCACATACAGAATATCCAACAAACACCAACACACAACAAGTAACCACACACAACACACACAATACAATATACGCAACAAAATAAGAACAATGTAAGATATACGACACAACCTACACAATATAATGCATATATATATATATACATAGAAGAAATTCCGAAAACAAGAGGCCCTCATATAATGCCCCAAATAATAAGATCCTTATTATAAAGATCTCAAAATAAAATACCTCTATTTTCAGTAATTCTCATATATATTAAAATTCTAGAATCCCTAAGAGACACAGCACATATTTAAAACGCTTCCCTTAGAAGACTCGAAACGCCACTAATAAACGCTCTAGAAGATGCGGCGCGCGTTAGAGACCCCCCTACAATATTCTAAACCCCGCAGAACATCTAGGGCATGATCCGACCTCCTTAACTAGAAAAATCTTATATATTTCTAAATACTGACTCTAAATAATGCGGCGCGTATTTAAAACAAAATCTAGAATCACCAAATACTAGCTAATGCAGCGCGCATTTGAGAGCCTCCCTCCCTTTTGAACTTTCTAAATACCACTATATGCTAACTCGAGACGGCTCTATAAGATGCGGCGCACATAATACATAGCACACGACGCACATTTTCCACTACACCACACCACATACACAACAACATCGGCACACCCACACACACCCACCCACACTCCTGCACACGCACGCACATACAACAAAACACAACCCACAACACATAACCCACAACGCACAACGCACAACACACAATACACAACACACAACACAAATCACACATCACACAACTCACGCACACACAACACAGAGACAACACACACACACAACAAACACACACAACACACACAACACACACAACACACACAATACACACAATACACACACACAACACACACAACACACACACAATACACACAACACACACAACACACACACACACACAACACACACAATACACACAACAGACACACACAACACACACAACCACTTAATGCACACAACACACTGACAATATACACAACACATACAACACACAAAACAAACAATACAGACAACATAATAATCCTTAATGACTCTTGTTGGTAAGTATTTCAACTTAGGTTCAGAGAGGATTTCATGAATATATAAAAATGCTTTTTAAATAATGAATAGTATATACTGTAAGAATTATTTTTATTCTAGGATGGCAAATCATAACTCGAAAACCGCCTTGGGCTTCGTCCTTACGCGCCTTACAAATATGCAATTTTAATCTCATCCCCAAAGCCTTAACAAACCTCCTTACCCCATTTTGGGACCCTCGCGCCGTGCTAGTGCTGGAGCAAGTCCAAAATCAAAGTATCTTATATATATATATATATATATAATATGAAGAAACCCCTTTTCCCCAAATTGAGAATGAATCGAAGATATAAGTACCATTATTTTTTCTATGAGTTTGAAACATCAACCATTCGTATACGATTTCCTGAGATCATATGCCATATGCCCTGAGCTGGCCAGTAGATCAAAACGATGTGCGGGCGACCGCTCCAGCCAATGCTGCATGAAAAGAGAGATTCCTGAATCCCAACAGACCTAGCCGCTTATGGAAGCACACTTCACTCCTACATTTACTTTGGCATAAATTTCAGTGGTCTCGCGTGAGCTAGCCTTGAGCGAATTTTGGCCCACTATGATTGTGATCGCGGGCAACTACACTGGATGTTGGATCGGTGCTTGTGCCTGTACGTCGGCACCAAACAGGTCTGTGCTACCATCGAGTAGTAGGACGCGAGTTCTGCCGGAACCACTGGAACCACGATGTCGCTTTAGGAACGGTGACTCGTCTCCTGCCCTCGCTTTCCTGCGAGACCCCAGGCATGTGAACCATGTGGGGAGGTCCGTTTTTCGGAGACTCTGCAAGGACCAGATTTCCCGTCGCCCCATAGAGTGGAGTCCACCGAAACTTGCTGTGGGGGCTACCCCAAGGCACTGGAGCCTTCTCATCCTTGCCCGTAATGAAACGAGCACTGCACCTGCCAGAAGCAGAAGTTGTATAACAACTTTTGTCGCTTGGCGTTGAATGGTTGCGTGCAAATTCCCCGTGTAGGTGCCAAACATGCGAAGTGCAAAACTAGCACCTTCCTGGGCACGTGCAGGCCACAAACACTAAATTAACTAGTGTAACTTTCACCCAAACCTCCTGCTGAGTCGAGCTCTTTGCGTTCATGGGCCAAGCGAGCTTATTTGAGCAGTTCTGCAGGTCAGCTCGCCCCGGCCTGAATCTCGATTTGGTGGATTTCGGGCGTGGCCGCTACGACGCGAAACATGGATGCAAGGCCTCACTGAAAACCGTGGAACAGAATAACAACAACCATTACGTGGGTCTGTTGCGAGCTGTAAAACTTTCTCGCCCTGCACGGAATGCAGTCGTGCTGGCATTTCTCAGGCTCAAGCCGGAATGCTTATCTGGGTACCTGCAAATCCAACACGTGTGGTTTTCAGCATAAAACCCTAAACCCTAAACCTTAAACTCAAGACCCTAAACCTTGAACTCAAAACCCTACACCCTTTTCAAGTCAGATGTGGGGCTCTGCTTCTGCATCTGCAGCGTAATGAAATGCAGTAGGGTAAACCCTAAACCCTAAACCCTAAACCCTAGTAGAGCCTGGTTTGCAGCCTGGCGCCACGAGCTTCCAGGGACATGTCAGGCCTTCGACCCAGAGTTCCCAATACCCCTTAATTAGGGTTTGGGATTTAGGGTTTAGGGTTTAGGGTTTAGGGTAAGGAATATAGCTTAAATCATAATATTAAGGCCCCTATAATTTAAGGAATATTCCTTAATTAAGGGGTATTGGGCTCTCTGGGGACATCGCTCCGAATTGATTCGAGTGGCCTGGACAGTGCGAAGCTGAAGCTGAAGGCGCTTCCATGGCCAAGGCATCTGCAAGCCCGCACCTCGGCTTGTCGCTGAAGCGACTGGCTAAACAAGGTTTCGACGGCTTGTGCATGCTAGGGCTTCATGGCAGCCATGGATCGCCGGCAGCACTAGAGCTAGCCAGACAGAACACACGACTGCCCAAAGCTCTCGTCAAAGCGACAGCCAGCAAGCTGATTCCGCTTGCTTGCTGTCGTGTTGCGAAGAAGTCGGCTCACTTTCCAACATGTGACTGATACAGGTCTGGTAAAGGTCATCGGGCGGATTGTGAAAAAGAGGAGTCTCGGGTTCGTCACATGTCAGACATTGCTGTCCTCGAGGAGCTTTCGATCGCGGTTCGGACAGCAGCGGGAAAGATTGCACGGGATGCCTGCGGGGATATTCTTTGCTGGATGTCGTGGTCACAGTCGTAACTCATGGGCTCCGACCAAAGCACACGCTGCAATACGGTGCCTCACTTTCGACCGTCCACGCGCAGAGGCGGAACATGGCAAAAGCAAGCCAACGCTTATTATGCCTATTTCTGACATACGTAAAGATCACATCAATATGGGGGTTTCCGAAAATAGGGGACCCTAATATAGTACCCTAAATAATAGGATCCTTACTATAAGGACCCCAAAATAAGGTACCCTAATTGTCGGAAACTCCCATATTGGCGAAGGATGAGGAGGAACTGCCCGGGACAACTGGGCAGTGCTGTCAGCTTGCTCAGATCCATTGGCAGTTCTCAATCTTTCATCCTGTCCTTTGTCCGACTGCATGCAACACCAAACGGTTCATGAGGCATAAAGAGCACACAAACAGTCTGTGAAAGTCTCTCGGCATCTCGCCACGTCCCACGATTTAGGAAACTGCCTGCAATGCCACTCGCAGTGCCCGAGTCGACAGCATGCTACCACCTTCTACGCCCTAAAACTCTTTGGGCTCATGCCGGGCCGCCAAGTCGGAAGGTCACCTCGCACTGTCAACAGGGGACTGACAAGACGATAGGAAGCGACATTCATCCACATCAAGGGTCAACGGCGACACCCTCGAGAACATCGGCAGTCATATTTCTCTCCCTCACACATGCTGCTCCTGGCACGAGTTTGGCACATCGAGAAACTTCTTCCTCAGAGTGCTGCCGGGGACCGGGAACTCCCCGGACAGGCGTTGCAAATCTGAATTATGCAGACTTCAG